ACAACAACAACAACAACAACATATATATTCAAACATTTAATTAACTCACCCCAAATGTGCAGTTGGTGTCCTAATGTGGCTCAGCAGGGTAATGGGTGGGACTGCAAGTTCAGATTGAACAGCAAGGTTGGTACTTCATACCCACCAGCCGTTCCTCAAAAGTGCTATACATGGTCACTATGGGTCAGAACAGACTAGACGGAACTTTGTAACAACAACAAATGTGGGGTTGCCTTGGCAGTACCAAACCAAACAATTTCACAGCCATGTAAGACCAGATGTTCCCCTTCCCTGGACTAGGTGAAGGCTTTGAAAGGTCTTGTTTTTTTCTCACTGAAAACTTAGATTCTATTCCTTTATTCAGATATGATTTATAGGGACAATCAGATAGTATGAAAATATCATCAGCCCTCCTTCAAGACTATTAATTCCTTCGTAGATTCCCTTATGAAAGATATGTCTCATTTCTGGTCATTGATTATCACATATTAGGGATAAAGATAATGCAGAAAACATGTGAATAAAGGTTCTTCACCCAGAAATACTGATTTTGCACATGAAATATTACTTCACCTTAATTCTCAAAGGATTTTATTGGAAATGAAACCTATAATTTGGAGTACTAATGTGGATAGGTTATAGCATAGGTGCAGGACCACTAGGTCGGTTTGAATCACAAGGTTGTTGTTGTTGTTAAGTGCCATCAAGTCAATTCTGACCCATAGCAACCCTGTAGAGGGTTTCCAAGGAGCGGCTGCTGAACTTGAACCACAGATCTTGCAGTTCAATCTAATCACAAGGTGCGTGATTCAAACTCACCAGCCACTCTTTGGAAACCCTGTATTGGGTAGTTATGAGTCAAAATTGAATCGAAGGCACCTAATAACAACAACAACAAAAACCTATAATTTAGTTCCCAAAAATCCTTTGAGAATTAAGATGGAATAAAGATTTCACATATAAAATCATGATAGTTTATGGACTATTGCTATTGGATCAGCATTGGACTGCAAACCACAAGGTCAGCAGTTCAAACCCAAAAGCTGCTTCTTAGGAACCCTATACAGGGCCACCATGAGTCGGGACCTATTCAACGGCACTTAATAGTATCAGCAGCAAACTCTAGGTTAGTGCCTATTGTTCTTATCATTTTGAAGAGGAAATGTTATCAATTCCTCCTCACTCCGATCAACTAGGGCTGGGATCTCTGAGAGGAATGTGGATACATTAAAACCTTCATAACTTGAAGAAATTGCAAGATAACTTTATTCTGTATGCATATCAGAAGATCACTCTGATTCTGAAACAAAATAAATGACTTGACATCAGTTGGTTTCAAAAAGGCTTATAAAAAGGAGAAAGAAATAGAAAAGATGGTCCACTGACTGATCTCAACATGACAGATTGAACACTGCCCTCCTTCCTTTGATTTGATATTCAGTCACATGGTGGTCCTTGGCCTTTGACCCACCTATAGTATAGCTTTGGTAACTTTTGAAATTTAAATGAACTAAACTATGTTTGGGCAAAAAAAGACTCTAGCAGGAGTTGGTATGTCATTTCCATGTTAATACTTGGTTTCATGCTTAAGAAAACCCCTAAAATCAGAGTATGATCTCTGTTCATATTTTTCCAGAAACACGAAGAAGCTGGAAAGTAGATCCAACTGCTACTGAACTAAGTGCAGCTGGCTGCTGAGGTGAAGAGCTTCCCTGGGTTGACAGTGAGAGGAATATACATAGAAGAGATTTCCTGTCTCTTTTGCGCCTGTCTTTGCTAGCTTTGCAGTTGTTATTAAGTGCCATCAAGGAGGGTCTGACTCAGAATGACCCTGTATAGGTTTCTAAGGTGGTGAGTATGAACCACCAACTATTTGGTTAGCAGCCCAGCACTTGTGTTACATCTCCACCGCATGAGACCAGTGCCCTCTATTGGCAGAATCTCAAGGAGCCCTGGAGTCTCTGTAGGATAAGCACTGACTGGGCAGGTCAGCAATTCAACTACACCAGCCCCTCTCCAGAAGAAAACTAAGATTTTCTGTCTTCATCAAGATTTACAGGTCAGTGTGGAGTCTCAGTGTGGCACTGTAGAATAAGTGCTGAACTGTGTATAATGAACTGGATCTTAACCTCTTGCCAGAGAAACTATCTTTTCTAGCTTGAACAATAAGCGCTCCACATGTCAGAGAAGTACCAGGGACCTCAAGAACCTTAGGGTGGTGTCCTGCCCTGTTAATTGTCAGCAAATAAACCAAGCCCTTTGGTCATGCAGTCACAATAAAAATCATTCTGAAAACATCTTGAAAGAGCTTGGAAGTAGATTCTTTCAGCCTCCAGATAACAATGCAACCCAGTCAGCACCTTGATTGCTGTCTTGAGCATTCAAAGGAGAAGAAGCGGCTAAAACATGCCCAGATCCAGACTCAAAGAATCCGATTCTTAATGAATGTCTTGCTGTTTTAAACAAGTACGTATGTGGTGATTCTCCTTCAATCTTTTTATTTTCATTCTTAGTTCTATATGCTTTTTATGACGCAGAATTTTCTGAGATTTCATCCAGGGACAGTAGAGTTAGTCCTCAGGCTGTGTGTTAACATATAACACGGAAGATAATATTTTCTGTCTGATTACCTCTCATGATTCCAGGTTCCTTATATGGTGCTGAGTTCATAAACACTGAGGAGCAGTTAAGGACAATAGTCGTTCCCTTGTTGTTGTTGTTTTGTGCCATGGAATTGTTTCTGATTCATAGTGACCTTCTATAGGATTTCATAGGAGCGGCTGATAAGTTTGAACCACCAATCTTGTGGTTCAAACTGACCTGGGACCCAGTACTTATTCTACAACTCCACACCGGTACTCCAATAAACATCCACAGATTAAGGTGCAAAGGAGACATCTGGGGATAGCAAGCCCCCTTTTCCACAGTTCCAGCAACAGCTAAGTTTTTCTAAATGCTTTTAATGCACTCGACTGCTAGGTGGTTTGAACCACAAGATCAGCAGTTCAAACTCAGCAGGTGCTCCTTTGAAACTCTATACAGGGTCACTATGAGTCAGAACCGACTGAGCAGCACTTAACATCAACAACCATAGAGACAACCAGAG